CAAAGTTCCTTGATTATTACGCCGGAATGAGAGTATAGTTCCTAGCCATATCGGCCTAGAAAATCGCAACTTTTCATTTTCCGTCGGTCTTAGTACACGATGTAACTACAGAAGAGTCAAATTTTAAACAGGAAAAATATAGAAACTATTTGGTCATTTTTGAGCGAGATGCTAACGGTCTAATCAGATTCAATGATCTATGCTAAGCTAACCTAAAAGTGCTACCGCCAGACCCGGAGACCGTCTGAATGGATTCGAAAACGGTAAAACTCGACTGTTTAACTCTAGGGGAGTTGGAAAATGAGCCTATTTTCAAAAATAGTGGAGTGTTCCTTTAAGCTGGAGGTTTGGTGCCCTGTGTTTTAGAAACGATTCTGTCTGTGTCACAAGCTCAGAGCTTTCCTCTCTGAAAAGCCCAACTGAGGCCCAGGTCAGGCATTTGGCAGGGCCTAGAGAATTCTCTAGAGAGATAACAAGATGACGTGAGCGTTTCCACACTGGGTCACTATTAATTACTGCTGACGTGTGTCAGAGATAGAGTTGCTCTTTTAGTAGCTACATGTTAAATGCAGCAAATACAGCTCTTTTGTTGTCTGTTCTATCTTTAATGTGCAGGTGAATGAAGTGTGGTGTGCTGTTAGCTCCTCGCTGCTATTGTATGATGTTGGATTGTGTGAAGGTGGTCAGGTTATAAGTTGCTAATATTGTTTGCGGGATTGTGCTTATTTGTATGTTTGATTTCTATAAACATTATACCAGTCTTTTCTTTTTCGTTTCGTAACAGACATGATTTCTCAGTTGAATCAGAATAATTGATCAAATATATGTATATAAAGGGAATCTACAATACAGCTACAAACACAGTTTTGAAAAAGTCAGAGTTAATATGTAACAGTGATCACAATGTGATTATTATTTTTCAGTGATATGAACCAGATTGGATGATCAAATTCCACTTCTTTCCTCTAATAAGAATGATGATGATGACAAGCTGTTTATTAGACTTCAAATACCAGCATGAGAAAACGGTTTGAACTTTTGTAATATTTCATACTTTTTGACTTAAAGTGTGTGTGTATATGTACACACACACACACACACACACACACACACAATATGTATATGTTTGTGTGTGTGTGTGTGTATATATATATATATATATATATATATATATATATGGTGTAATGACTGATTTGATGTATTTTTTTATTAATAACTAAAAAACATATTAATGACTAAAACATTTCAGATATAGAACAGAATTTGTATTTGCTGATCAGGTGCTCAGATGGAGGCTGAAACATGTCAAGATAGCGGCGATATTTATGGTTTGTTCTTTTATTGGTTGAGTTCTTTTTGAAAGGTTTTAATATGGGGATGAACATGTTATGTAGTTAAATAGTTTGATAAACTGCTGATTTTGGATTGTTGACAGCAGCGTTTGTGACCTCCTCTTGACACTGTCATACCTGAATTGACTGTTACATTCCTGTTAGCAGATGAGTATTGAGGTGTGGTCATATGGACGGCTGCCAGTGACCACTCCACGCCTTCATATACTCAGTGTGTGTCTGCTAGATTTGCAAAAAGCCAATTTTAGCTAATACTTCATAATTTATAATAATATATTAATATCATTGTAATAATAATATTTTCTATATTTTTTGAAAATGGATGTTATTGATAGGTGTGGCTAGTTTAAGTAATGTTTATTATTATATTAATCATTAAGTAAACAAAAAGTGTTAACAGTTTTTACCTTAATCCCATTCTTGCAACATTTTTGCATACAATGGATTAGATCGCCTCCAAGAAAGTCAATAAAACGTTTCTCATAATTATTGTTGTCATGTTTCTGGGATATGTGCAGTTGTTTAAAGGTCCCATGGCATGAAAATTTCACTTTATGAGGATTTTTAACATTAATATGAGTTCCCCTAGCCTGCCTATGGTCCCCCAGTGGCTAGAAATGGCGATAGGTGTAAACCGAGCCCTGGGTATCCTGCTTTGCCTTTGAGAAAATGAAAGCTCAGATGGCCCAATCTGGAATCTTCCCTTTATGTCGTCATACGGGGAAAGGTTACCTCCCCTTTCTCTGCTTTGCCCGCCCAGAGAATTTGGCCCGCCCATGAGAAAATTAGCTACTACCGTGCGAGGCGAGCGCAATATTTTTTTTTCCTCGAGAGACATCATGGCTTGCAAACTAGCGAAGCATGGCAGTTGCCCCGCCTCTCTCCTCCTCATTAGCATTTAAAGCTACAGACACAGAAATGGCACGTCCTAAGGAAAGCTCATTGTGGGACTGGCTCGTAGTGGCTGAAATTCTGCACCAAGGCTGAATTTCGGGAAAGAGACTTCAGATACAGTACTAGGGACCACTTAGGCCTATATAAAAGCATCCAAAAAGCAGCATGTCATGGGACCTTTAACCGTTCCAGGGAGCAGAAAGTGTTTTGTTTGGACTGACTGGTACTCAGGTCATGAAGTCCCTACAAATCAAACAGTTTTCTTAGGCAATAATGGCCATTTAGCACAGACCAAGAGTTTGCTCTGTTTCTCCAGGACCGTTGTCATGGAAACACTGGTTGAACGTCTGGAGCAGGCAGTGATTCGTCTGGAGGCGGTGGCGATCAAACTGCAGAACTGTCCTGAGGGTTTGGTCAACGGGGACATCAACAACATGATCAACGGAGGTACCATAAGTACAACAGTGCTTTGGATGAAAGATCTTGACAGCAGTTGAATTATTCAATATATTAATAGTTTTTATTTATAAAGCATATGATGTAAAAATGCTGTTGAGGTCTGTCCACAGGGCATTGTCTGTACAGATTATTGTAAGGAGAAGACCTCTGACTTTTAGGGTTTTTTTCTTCATGGGAAAAATATTCTCATAGGAACAGAGTGGCATTGGTCTTGGCACACTGCACATAGACACAGTCTGAAATATATAATGGATATGGATGTCAGTGAATGGGATTTCGGAATTCTCTCTTCTGCTTTCTCCAGTCTCTAGTTTGTGTGTGCAATTGTTCCTTCAGTGTTTTCAGTCTTTTTTTTTTTTTTAGTTTGACCAATTTTTTAGTTTTCTACTTCTGTTATCCATTCTGTAATAACTGATTTAAATAGTGGCATAATTACTACTAATAACTATAATATTAATACTACAATTAATCATAATAATACTACTAATAATTTTAATATTAATTCTTATTTTCAGCAGAAATTTTTTGTTGTAGTTATTTTTATACTGTTTTATTTTAGTCATTGTTTTGTGTCAAATCGCTGAAATACAACTAAATAACAAAAAATATGCAGGAGTCTAAAATTGCTTGTCTTGTATCTGCTTGTCTTAAAAAAGAATATTGGTTGATCTTTATATTTCATTGTCTTGTCAAAGATCGCATTAGTTCCAAAGCGACATTCTCTTGCAATATTAACATTTCTTTCCTTTTCCAACCCTGACGTCCTCAACAATGAATGGGATTTTAAAGCATCCTCTGTTGGATGTGTTGTTTGTTCTGTTAGACTCTGTTTATTGAGTTTAATTAATTTCTGTTGTCTCTTTGCTGTCTCTTTGATGTTAAGGTGAATCCGAAAGCATGGAGGCGTTCGACCATTTGCTGAGTGGTTCCGTGTCTGAATATTTGAGGACCAGCACAGCTATTGGTGGAGATGTGGCAAAGCATGTAAGTGTGAGCGGCTGTGAATACCAATGTCAATGCAGATTTTACAGAGAGACAGGAATACTGACAGAAGATGAGCAGAGGTAGATAATATAAGAGTGAAGTCATTCTCCTAAGAGCTCTTAGTTTATAGTACCAAAATGACTGCACACACTCACAGACGTCCAAACGTCAGCCCTAAAAAGTTGCTAAAAAGGAGCTCACAGCTCTTGCTGTCCAGCTTCACATAACTCTGCTATATTTGACAATTGACTTTGTGCTGTTCTGTTTCCCTGAAGCCTTTTTAAATCCATTTGCATCATAACAAATGGAAAATGTTTTATTATAATCTGAAAGCAAATGTTTGAAAAATGGAAAAAGTGAAGGTAGAACAGCTTTTGTTTGTCTAAAGCTTATTTACAGAGACAACTCAGCTTGTTTAAACTGCCGCTTATTTTCGCTGCAGCAATGAAGTGCTGTATTAGTGTCTTGCTGGACTGGAAAATTACTGTTTTGCAGTGTTATTTTATTAAAAAAAGGTTATATTAACTTCTGGATTGTTATGAAATTATATAAAATATTTTTAAAAAGTCTAAGAGTAATAAAAAAAAAAAACCCACTTCTGATAGTGTTGTTTCGAAATTGTTTATTGTTTAAAAGTTTAGGTTGGTAAGATTCATATGCTGACCAAGGGTGTTGACCAAAAATACAGTAAAAAAACTAATATTGTGAAATATTGATACAATTTAAAGTAACCATTTTCTATTGTAATATATTTATTCCTGTGTTTCATTCTAATAAGCTGATTTGGAGCTCAAGAAATATGTCTTCTTATTGTTAATGTTGAAAATTGTTTTTCTTGCTTAATATTTATGTGGAAACCATGATACATTTTTTCAGAATACTATGATGAACAGAAAATTCAAAAGAACAGCATTTATCTATAATCTTTTGTTACATTATAAATGTTTTTTTTTGTAACATTATAAATGTCTTTACTGTCACTTTTGATCAATTTAATGCATCCTTGCTGAAAAAGAACATTAGTTTGTGTATTTGGTGTAATGAAATGTGTTCATGTGGTTTAAGGTTCAAAAAACACATTATTTTCCACATTCTGTACATTATTGATTGCTCCTTTCTGAAACGCGTCGATTTTTACAAAGCTCATCGGTCTGAAAAGCGAGGTGTGCTCTGATTGGCCAGCTATCCAGTGTGTTGTGATTGGCTGAATACCTGAAGCGTGTGACGGAAATGTTACGCCCCTTATCATATTGTGATGCCGTGTCCCGGCCGGAGCGACGAGACAAAAAATTTAAAAAAAAGTGGCAAAATCTTTAAATATAAAAAACTTACTTACAGGCTGTGAGTCAGAAGCGCCAGACTGTCCTTGCAAAGTTGGAACTGCCCCACTTTATAGAAACAGCCTTTGTGCACAGACGCATTGTAGGCTACTCTGCAGGTTCAGGAAACAGTCCTCCATAAAATGCGCTGCACACATCTGAATATTTGGGTTGAA